CTTTTCTCTGTGTATATCAATGATGTCGCTTGCTGCTGGTGACTCTCAGATCCACCTCTACGCAGACGACACCATTTTGTATACATCTGGCCCTTCATTGGACACTGTGTTAACAAACCTCCAAACGAGCTTCAATGCCATACAACACTCTTTCAGTAGCCTCCAACTGCTCTTAAACACTAGTAAAACTAAATGCATGCTCTTCAATCGAACGCTGCTGGCACCCGCCCACCCGACTAGAATCACTACTCTCGACGGGTCTGACCTAGAGTATGTGGACAACTACAAATACCTAGGTGTCTGGTTAGACTGTAAACTCTCCTTCCAGACTCACATTAAGCATCTCCAATCCAAAGTTAAATCTAGAATCGGCTTCCTATTTCGCAACAAAGCCTCCTTCACTCATGCTGCCAAACATGCCCTCGTAAAACGGACTATCCTACCGATCCTTGACTTCGGCGATGTCATTTACAAAATAGCCTCCAACACTCTACTCAGCCAATTGGATGTAGTCTATCACAGTGCCATCCGTTTTGTCACCAAAGCCCCATATACTACCCACCACTGTGACCTGTACGCTCTTGTTGGCTGGTCCTCACTACATATTCATCGCCAAACCCACTGGCTCCAGGCCATCTATAAATCACTGCTAGGCAAATCCCCGCCTTATCTTAGCTCATTGGTCACCATAGCAACACCCATCCGTAGTATGCGCTCCAGCAGGTTTATCTCACTGGTCATCCCCAAAGCCAACACCTCCTTTGGCCGCCATTCCTTCCAGTTCTCTGCTGCCAATGACTGGAACGAATTGCAAAAATCTCTGAAGCTGGAGACTCTTATCTCCCCCTCACTAACTTTAAGCATCAGTTGTCAGAGCACCTTACCGATCACTGCACCTGTACACAGCCCATCTGAAATTAGCCCACCCAACTACCTCATCCCCATATTGTTATTTATTTTGCTCATTTGCACCCCAGTATCTCTATTTGCACATCATCTCTTGCACATCTATCATTCGAGTGTTAATACTAATTGTAATTATTTTGCACTATGGCCTATTTCTTGCCTTACCTCCATAACTTGCTACATTTGCACACAGTGTGTATATATTTTCTGTTGTATTTTTGACTTTATGTTTTGTTTTACCCCATATGTAACTCTGTGTTGTTGTTTTTATCACACTGCTTTGCTTTATCTTGGCCAGGTCGCAGTTGTAAACGAGAACTTGTTCTCAACTGGCTTACCTGGTTAAATAAAGGTGAAATCAATAAAAAATTAAAAAACAACGATCTGCTTAATACTAATATAGAAGTATACTTTTCTTTCTTCAAACATGCATACAACATAGTGTGAAAAAGTACAACTTGTTTTAATTACCCACAATCCTAACAACAGAGCCACGTGGCAAGATAGGAAGTACAAGGAGATTAAAACCAGACTTCTAATTAGTTCAATCACTAATTTTTCTCTATATTTGGTTATCCTCATACAGTATAAAATATACTTGCATTTTGATAAACATATTAAGTTGGATTTATTCTTACATTTTTTGGTTAAATTAAATTAACAAATCATTGAAACAACTTTTTTAGTCAATTTCAATTCACCCCAGAATCATTTTTTACAGTGTGGCTTTGTGGTTGAGTGTGTAAATTTCCAATGAAATTCCAATTAAATGTACCATCTTTCTGCCCCAGAAGTCTGGGATCCAATTCCCGCTTCCTCTTGTCCTACTTTCACCCCTTCTCGCTCTCCTGTTTCTAATATGTCTAAATAATTCAATTATATTTTTTGGGAATTCCACAAAAAAATTGTATCCATTGGCCCTTACCATCAATCAGTATTTAGGCTATAAACCATTTGTTAACTATTTGATTGTATGAGAGACACAGTCTGCCCCAACAAATACTTTTTGTCTTTTGATGCTTCCGTTTACATGCACTGAAAACCCCCCCAGAGTGTTTTCACAACACTCTCTTAAAAACACCAATATTCCAATTGAAGAATTGCTTTGTGTGTTTCAGAGTACTTCTATTCAGTTTTAAAACACTTTCTATGTATCATCACACTTACATTGGGTTTACATTCAAACACATTCCAAATACCAGATCTCAGGTTAGATGCACTACTTTTCATGGTTTCATTACACAATCATGGTGTTTTGAGTCTTTCTATTTTACAGTGTACCTTCCTCAGTAAGTTCATTGTGATTTCTACAGGAACAATCTTGCCATCCTTGATGCAGCTGTCGATCAGCTGTCCATATTCAGAGCCCCCCCCCCCCCGACCCCTCTCGGTCCGCAAGAGGTCGCCTTCAGACAGATGAGCGTAGCCATGAGCCTGGAATACATGAACAAGGGAAGACCTCAGTAAAAAGGAAACACACAAGTCAAAGCTATGAATTGTTTCAGGAAGGAGGACATTGGAATGCAGTGAAAAGTTAAGACCTAAGCACTGTCATGTGGGTCAAATTAGGTTATCTTCTGTTAGATGTCAATAAAGGGAGGGACTGTGAATGACCTGTAAGATTGGTGTTTGTGAAAGCGCTTATGCCCTTTGAACCCCAATGTTGACATGTCTACATTCCAGCCCAGGTCAACCCAGGTTGGTGTAGAACAGAAACCCCAATGGGAAACCCCCATTGGGTCTCAGGGTTATAAACTGTAGGTATTACAGAGTTCCAGTCCTGTCAGGAGGAGACCAACATATGCAGCCTGGTCTCAGTAAATGTAAATCCGGGACACTCAAATTAGTATGATATGTTACGTTTGGTATGGTTACATAAGACAGATGGTTACTTAAGGCAAAAACAAAAGTAGGGTGGTCAGTTGGGGTGGATGGGTGGTGCATAATGTGAATGTTTAGCAACCAAAAGGTTGCAAGTTTGAATCTCATCATGGACAACTTTAGCATTTTAGCTAATTAGCAACTTTTCAATGACTTATTACTTTTTAGCTACTTTGCAACTACTTAGCATGTTAGCTAACCCTTCCCCTAACCCTAACCTTAACCCCTTTAGCTAAACCTCCACCTAGCCCTAACCCTTTTAGCTATCCCTAACCCTAACCTTAACCCTAACCTCTAGCCTAGCTAACATTAGCCAGCTAGCTAATGTTATCCACCTAGCTAGAAATCGTAACATATCATATGTGTCTCGGATTTAAGTACAGAATAATATGAAATGCTCTGAGACCAGGTTGATATATGACTTATAGCCAGGGCCTAATATAAAATATCACCATTCTGACTGACAGACTCTAATTTCAAATGTTCACACACCTCCACAATTTTGGCACACTGGGTTCCTTTCCCTTGCACCCAGTCCTCCAAGTAGAAACACAACCTGTGGTTTCATCATGATCACGCTAAAATTATTTTGTAAAAAGTATGCCTACTCTGGAGGCAGGAGTGATCTTTAACCAACTCCAAGGCAAATGGATCAACAGAGTTGGACAGCAGAGTTCCAGTGTGTCATTAAGGGGGAGGTGCTTTTCTACTTTTGTCTACACATCAGGTTCACTCACAGAGCCGATCGCATGAATTTAAATGTGATATCAAGTGGCATAAATCAACTGTAGAACCTCCTATTTGTTCTTATTAGCTGAAAATGTGCAGTCTTGTCTGCTCAGAATGCCACGCCTAGCTTTGTTGATTTATTAGCTAAGAAAAAAAATCGACAGTGGTTCATCATCATGTCTAACAAAGATTAGTCTACTGATGAAGGCTATAAATTATTTTAGGCATTTAATCAGAAAAGCACTATTTATTTAGAAGAATATCAAGCTTGCCTCCTATCTATTTTGATTTGCCCTAAAATCATATGATACAATTATGGCCGGATCTTATCAATTGTGCTGCCATCAAAGAATGGGGCTAGATTAGACAATAGCCTGCCATTGCATGATTGTAAATATGTCGCTCAAAAAATATTAAACCATAAATCGGTCTATTCTTATCACCAGGCAGACACTTGATGAATGTGAGTAGCCTAGCAGTCATAGGCCATTCAAGCCATGGAGGAAATGTACAGACTGTTACCGCGAAATAATGGACTCCCCGCACTCCCACGCGCTCAGTCTCCCTCTGCGGTTCATCTGTTCACTCAGCATCATCAGCACCAGGGAAGCTGAACAGCGCCAGACGATGCACCGCCTTGGGAGAGAAGAGGAGACAAGACAGCTTCCTTAATGTGTCTGTACGGGGATTTTATCAGCATCCTTAATGTGTCTGTACGGTGATTTTATCAAGCCATGCAGCGACAATTCGATACATTTATTGTCGGATTGGATAGAACTGTTGTCTATCATTTTTCTCTTCTTGAACACTTGTTTTTCACCCGCTGATTTATCGAGGCGAGAGGCTGTTGTTCAGCCAATTCTGCAGAGAGGAAGCGTTCAATGATCTCTCTGCATTAACGGTGTTTTTATCTTTCGTTTTATACTCATGGTGAGGAATGCCTGGTGGTCTATTTTGTCATCGCTCCGATCAAGCGCGCCCCATGAGCCGCCTGCGCCGCATCAACGGGGACATCGACACGACGCCTCTGAGTGCGCCGCTTTCCCCCGGCTTGTGACATGACAGCCCGGGGAAGAAAGAAGAGGATCAAACGGCACAGACCTGCAAGCGGACGTATGGATTTGAATCATTTTGAGGGGCTGGAGCCCACGGAAGCCCGGACTGCAAGAGAGGGCAGTGCCACACAGACACCGATAGGCTACACCTGCGATCCGTGGCATAGAGAGGATCCAATACCACCAACTGCTGTTATTTAATCTGCTCCCCTATCCTAAGATCTGACCACCTATCTGTTTTATCTTTGTGCATAAATGTGAATGGTACTGATTGCCTTTTTGGATGCATACAATGCATTGACTAATGTGACATATTAAGCATAGTGTCTGTAAATCGATAGGACATGACAGAGATTGATGACTCTTTTAGCCCAAGTCCACAGTGTTATCATCCCGTCTGGTCCTCCTGACTAGAACCCTAACCTCATCATGGGCTGCATACAGAGCATCGCCTGTAAGTCGCGCATCAAACGCGAAAACATAGCGGTCTACGACGTTTCCGCCGCTATCGATCACTCCCCAACAATCATTGAGGAGAACTCTCCTATAGTGTTGCGCTACAAGACGCCCTATTTCAAGGCCTCTGCACGGATAGTGATGCCCCCTATTCCCCGTAATGAGACTTGGGTGGTGGGTTGGATCCAGGCATGCACACAGATGGAATTCTACAACACCTACAACGACATTGGCATGTGAGTTGAGTTCTCCTCCTGTCTTGCATTCCTCCATCAGAAGGCTGCTGACTGATGCTCGCAAGCTGCTCCCACCTCCCTCTGATGCTCTGTCCCAAACTGTCACTTCTCTGGTGCTGTAGGAAGTGTGTGTGTGTGTGTTTTGTGTGGCAACAGAAATGACATGAATGTGTGGATATGTGTGAGTGCATATGTAGCAGAGCATTTGTGCAAAAAGCAGGTTACCTATGCTGTCACCCTCCTTCATTCAAACGCCCACCAATTGATTCTGTTCCAATTGATTCTGTTCCTGTGACTTCACCATCAAAATAGAAATGACTGAGAAGCTAAACAACTGCTCTTAGACATACATTGTGTTCACAGAAATGAGGGAGAGAGAGATGGAGAAATGCACTGACACACTCCCACGCTCCCTTCTCTCCCGGAGACAGAATCACACAACCACTCACACACCCACTGAGGAGCAACACATACTGCCTCCTCCAGCACTGCCTGGGGGTGTTTTTCTCTGGAGGAGGAGGAGGCATATGTGAGGGGTTGTTTAATCCTGACTGGGGGTGGGGGTGGGGGGTCTGGGGGTGCAGCAGAAAAACATGGGGTATCAGGTCGCACCAGCCGACACCCTCTCATTGGCCAACAAACACAATAAGATATTAATCCACTGACACACTGAACCATCTATCACACATACGCTACAGTATGGACCCCTGAGGTGAAATAGAGATATAAATGCTAATTCCATTTATCCAATTTTTTTAATGAATTTGTATGGCTTACTCTGTTCTTTTTGAGAATGTCTAACACAGAGGCTCCCAAATGTAATGTGCTGTGTGACACCTAAAGCCTTTTGAATCTCCTTGTGACCCTACAGTTCAAAACAATGTTTCCAGCCACAACACAGTGTTAATCCATGACCCACTAAGAACAAGTTCCAACCCATCATCTATTAAACTGTAGTTTAACCTCTGACTTTTTGTCCTCCTGCAGGTCTAGCTGGGAGCTACCAGAGCTGCGTGAGGGTTTTGTGAGGGCCATCAGTGACTCAGACGGGGTGAGCTACCCCTGGTACGGCAACACCACCGAGACGGTCACCTTGGCAGGGCCCACCTCCAAGCCCTTGCGCTTCACCGTCAGCATGAACGATAACTTCTACCCCAGTGTGACCTGGGCCGTGCCCATCAGCGACAGCAACCTGCCCCTGCTCACCCGCATCAAGAGGGACCAGAGCTTCACCACCTGGCTGGTGGCCCTCAACACGGCCACACGGGAGAAGATCCTGCTGCAGACGGTCAAGTGGCGCATGAGGGTGGACATTCTGGTGGACCCCTCCATGCCCCTGGGCTCCAGAGCCACCCTGACGGGCCGGACACACCAGGAGCAGCCCCGCGTCCTAACCCACATGGAGCCCATCCCCCCCAACGCCTTGGGGAGGCCCAACGCCAATGACGCCCAGGTGCTGATGTGGAGGCCCAGGAAGGGCCCACCCCTGGTGGTCATCCCTCCTAAGTAGCGGAGGAAGGAGAGAGGGAGGGGAGGTGGAACTAGGGCCCAGACATCCAGCCATGATGAGATCAATATGGACAGAGACTTGGGGGACAGCTGCCTTAAATCCCCACCACTGCCTTTGAGTAGAGAGAGAGGACTGCTGCCTGGAGCAGGGTCTAAATACAGGTCAGACCCACAGAGGGACCTCTGCCTTAATGACATCCTCTACCCTGGAGAAGCAGAGAGGACTACTGCTTTGTGAGTGTGCCAGGCCCAGCAGGGCTACACTCCAGGGGAGCAGCCTGTAGCCTACTGCACACAATGCTGCCTCACCGAGATGACAGAGCAGCCATCTTTAATCACAGACTGCTCTGGGTCTATGACAGTGATGTAGAGGGCTGTCTCAAATGGTACCCTATTATCCTTAGGCTCTGGTTAAAGGTAATGCACTATGTGGAGAATTGATGGCCATTTGAGACTAACCCGAGGTGTGAGAGGCACAGCAGTACATGTATGTGGCTTTATGGGTATAATACAGGTGAGATTGGGGAGTATAATGTATTTTATATGTAAGAACAAAGATTGTAGTACATTTAAATTCAGCCTTCATGCTCAGTACAGTTACAGACAAGGATTAATGTGTTACTGGGAGGGGAAAGACAGGCTCTCTATAGCCACCTACAGCAGGCCCAATGAGAACAGCAGTGTGGGCCAGGCCAGGTATGAGATCCAGAGAGGAGACTGAGTCTGAGAATGTAACAATATGAACTCCCCATGCTGCTCATTACTGAGGTGCAAACCATACTAGCCTTTACACTGATATACACACACACATCCCTTCTGTGACTACACACATACACACACTTATGCACACATCCCCTCTGTGACTACACCCAAGCCATAATTACAAGAGGGCCAAGTGGGCTGAATAGGATATTAGAAATCAATTGTTTATATTGTAGGTCATATCACATACTGTGTATGGTAGACACTGCATGGTGGCAAACGTCCATTGAGAGCCAGTCATTCACAGTAACAGATGTGCCTGAGAACAGAATGACTCGGTCTGGAGGATGTACAGCACTGTACATTCAATCATATGTAAAGTGGGACAACGTGGGGAAGGTATTCCAAAGGATTTCAGAATGGATGGGTGGGAGATTTAGCATGCAAGCAGTTTTTTTTATTCAATAAAATGATGAAGGTATAACATGTTTGCGTGTTCTAAGAACGTCTTTGAGTTAGTCTGCAAGTGTAATAGTTGTTCCCCTCAGTCACACATTGCCAGTTCATGAGTGTACACACGGCTGCTCCGTATTCATGTTTCGGTGTTGACAGAGGGTCAGTTTAATCAGTTAATCCTCTGAGCTATAGGTCTCATGCACAATATGCACTCACTCAGAAAATGTATTACTGGCAGAAATAATAGGGAGCGCATGAGTGTGTGGCTGTGTGTGTGACTGTGTGTGGGTGTTCATGTGTGTTTGCATCTCATGGCTCAGAGCACTTGTAGAACTTCAACAAGGGAGACTGTTGTTGTAACATTGTGAGTCATACCATTAGGACTTGCGATATAAATGACACATCGTCTTTGATGTAGAAAACATTTCCTTTACGGACTTGTGTTCCTCATGATTGGTAAATACAGTAACAAAGTCATCCTTACCCACTTCCCCAAATCAAGTGACGACAAGGAGAGGAAAAGTACAAGGGTCGTTTCACCAATTGGGTGCCTTTTGAGTAGTGAAACTTGGTAAAAAAAAAAAGGGTTTGATTTCACCTAATTTTAACATTCTGTCAAAGACCACATGTTCAACTTCATAAAAACAAATTTTCCCATTTTATGAGGTAAAAAAATAAATAATACTATAGTAAGTGCCTATTAAGTACCAATTAAAGTAACAGGGTTGACAATTTCATCTTAAAACAGCCATAAATCCCCTTGTGACAGAAAATGGCCAAAAAGAGTAGAACCAGCTCACTTACTTTTTTTACACTATGGTTTGACTATTAGATGTTCAATTAATATTTAATATTTAAAAAGGAATAGTTTCACCATATTTAAACAAGAGTTCAGTTCGGGTAACAGGGTTGACCTTAAAATGAGGGCCAGACGTAAATGAATCACATGAAATAAATAATAGTCTTCAGAAATACAGTATATACAAAAGGGCACTTCAATTAATATAACAGGCTTTTAAACTGTAATATTGGTGCACAATTTCTACTTAAAATATCAAAGGGGCGCAAAAGGCACTCATTTAGTGGAACGACCCACAAACAGAGTTCTATAGCAGTGAAACAGCAACATAGCTCATCAGTATGTCTGCGGAGTCCAATACATCTGGACTATTGTCACAACTCATGTGTGAACATTATGGTGTCTTTGTTTTATCCATAATCTTCATGATTGAGATGATGACAGTAACATTAAGAAAGGGGACCCACCCCAACTAGTTTTGGCCCAGTGCAGTAAGCTGCCTGACAGGTCTGTCCAGTACACTGCTCAGCTTGCTCATGATTCATGGGTCTATTTCTCATGGGTCTATTTCTCATGGGTGTATTTCTCTGTAGTGGTAACCATGGTGAGGAACAGCCTTGTCTGGCCACTTCCTGGTCACATTTTACAGTTGAGGCACTTCACTCCTCTTCTCTCTTCCTCTCCACTTTTCATCTCTCCTCCACACGACTCTTCTCATATCCTCTTCTTTTCTTTTACCTGACCTCTCTTTCGGTCCTCCTTTTTTTCCTCTGTGATGTCCCCTAGGCACGACTGGGGTTGGGGGATGGCTTGCCCTCGTAGCCATACAGGAAGGTGGCCACGATGACCAGCACTGCACCCATGAAGAACACACTGGAGAGGACACAAGACAAGACACAGCATTACACGTGTCAGAGCCAAGGGACATTCAATTAGGAAATTAAAATTACCCGGCTCAAGAGACAATGTGTGTGTGTGAGAACCTAGAGGGGTCGAAGTCCTGCAGCCAGAAGTAGGATATGAGTGTTGACAGAATGATGGAGAGTGACGTAGCGAAGCCCTTCAGGATGTTGTCTGCATACTTGATGACAGCTGCTATAACCAGCCCTCCTAGTGCCTAGAGAAACACACACCAGACATGGACTAGATGAGCAGTGGGCAAAGGGACACTATAATACTACTAAGCTCACACAATTGAAACGAGATAAAGCAGTAGCATCTTAGTCAAGAGGAAAGGCAATATTCAATCAACATGATTAACAGTGCAAGCCGTTTCACTTAAAACCGTACACTATTTCTCCAAATGTGTATATTGCGAACTAACAGTACACCTATAGCTGACAGGTGAAGTAAAACAATTATAGTGAGATGTACCTGCAGAGCCACCACTATCCAGGTGATTGTGTTGTATCCCTGGAACATCCCAGATTCTTGGACTCTATCCCCATTGTACGCAAACATCCCCATCAGACCAAACACCAGGCCAAATATTCCTACACACAAACAGGTCAGATGATATGAGAGTTTGAACTGACTATGAATGATAGGAACGTGGATTAAACGTAAACCTGCCAGCTTTCATCAAAAACAATAACACCTGCAGTGTTTGACTGGAAATAAAAAAAACAATGTCTACATCCATAGACATTAATGCTAAAACACTACTCTCATGCAATGTGTATGAGGATGAATGCAGTTCATACCAGGAAATGAGTCACAGGATAATTAACATACGCTTCACATGTTCAGCTGTAAAAATAAACTCAGCAGGAAGACTCATTTCGCACAAAAGGAGCTGAGAGAAAAACGCAGGGTTTTTGTGCAGTGAGGAGGAAGGAACACTAAAAACTCCTTTCAAAGACACGGTTGAGATACAGTACTAGAGCTCTGTCATAAATAATATATCTTTGATAATAACAGAGTAATTCTGGGATGGAAAACTGGAACAAGTGCCCTTATTGCAAGACAACCCTAGTATAGTTAAAACGTTTCATACTGACCCAGTTGGATGTTGCGGACCCAGACACTCTGTTTGGTCTCTTTGAGGATCTTCTCAAAGTAAACGCCAGCAAAGCCACTGGAGAAGCAGGCCACCAGCACCGCCGCCACACCCACAAACTGGGACCCTGCAGACAGCTGCTCCTTCTCAGGGGCCCCGGGGGACTCAGAGGGCCACTAGACATTGGATACACATACATACACACACACACACAAACACAAACATAAACATACAAACACACTTGCACTCAAACACACTGGAGTGTGTAAAATGCAGGTTTTAAAAAAGTGGATTGAAAAGGAGATGGAGTAGAGTTTACCTGCACAAGCGCGACCCCAGCCATGAGGATGAGCAGGGAGAGCCACTGGTACACACCCAGCCTCCGGCCCAGCATGGACACTGAGAACAGAGCTGTGGTAAGGATCTTCAGCTGGTAGGTCACCTGGTGGAGAGAGACAAGGGGAAAACAGGGGACACCATTTAGAAACCATAAAAAGTATACTACCCCAGACACAAATTGTGCCTTCAGAAAGTATTCACACCCCTCAACTTTTTCCAAATGTTGTTGTGTTACAGCCTGAATTTAAAATTGCTTAAATTGGGATTTTTTTGTCACTACACAATACCCCATAATGTCAAAGCGGAATTATGTTTTTCAAAATTGTAACAAATGAATACAAAATGAAAAGCTGAAATGAGTCAATAAGTATTCAACACATTTGTTATGGCAAGCCTAAATAAGTTCAGGAGTAAAGATTTGCTTAACAAGTCACATAAGAAGTTGTATGGACTCACTCTGTGTGCAATAATAGTGTTTAACATGATTTTTGAATGACTACCTCATCTCTGTACCCTACACATACACAATTATCTGATTCAACCACAAAGACCAGGTAGGTTTTCTAATGCCTCGCAAAGAAGGGCACCTATTGGTAGATGGGTAAAAAATAAAAATAAAACAGACATTGAATATCCCTTTGAGCATGGTGAAGTTATTAATTACACATTGGATGGTGTATCAATACACCCAGTCCCTACAAAGGCGTCCTTCCTAACTCAGTTGCCGGAGAGGAAGGAAACCGCTCAGGGATTACACCAGGAGGCCAATGGTGACTTCAAAACAGTTACAGACTTTAATGGCTGTGATAGGAGAAAACTGAGGATGGATCAACAACATTGTAGTCACTCCACAATACTAACCTAAATGACAGAGTGAAAAGAAGGAACCCTGTACAGAATAAAAATATTCCAAAACATGCATCCTGTTTTCAATAAGGATATGTAAAACAGCAAAGAATGTGGCAAAGAAATGAACTTTATATCCTGAAGACAAAGCGTTATGTTTGGGGCAAATCCAACTCAACATGTCACTGAGTACCACTCTTCATATTTTCAAGCATGGTGGTGGCTGCATCATGTTACAACCTGGTCTCAGAGCATTTCGTATTCTTCTGTACACGTAAATCCGAGACACTCCATTTAGTATGATATATTTTACATTTCGTATGGTATGTATTCATTTGTGGATGTCCATCATCCATTTCATATGATATGTTCCGAATTACAATTCGTATGAAATTTTACGAATTGCAATTCATAGAATATGTTACGAATTGCTATATGTACAATATGTTATGAATTTGCAAAACGTATGATATGTTACGAATTCCAATTTGTTGTGGCTAATGTTAGCTAGCTGGCTAAGGTTAGCTAGGCTAGGGGGTTAAGGTTAGGAGTTATGTTAAAAGTTACGGTTATGGGAAGGGTTAGCTAACATGCTAAGTAGTTGCAAACAATGTTCCCTCTAAGAAGAAATATCAGCCCACAGAGAGAAGTAGGTGAACTGTTGCCATTTTGAACCATTTCAGGTGTCTGAAGGTACAAACTATGCCTTCCCGGCGGGCCCGGAGAACAAATCAAGTGCACTATAGGCCTACCGCTGGCCAATCGGATGGCTCAGATGACCGTGTCTGCAGTAACGTAGCAGGCATAAAAGAAAGCTACAGCAAAGTTGTACTGTGAGATTTCAAAACTTTTAAAACCATGACTAGAGAGAGACTGTCAACGAATACAGCAAAGAGATGCTGTTTTATGAGTGAGTTCATGTTTAAGTTCTTACTAAGCACTGTCAACACTTTGTATTTAACACTTTTATAAACCATAAAATGTGCGTTCTTCCTATTTCCACTCAGCGCTACAACAAGCACTGCAGCAGTAATGAATGAGTAGGAAAGTGTATCTATAGGCTTGCGTTGTTGTTATTATTAGCAGCTTGGGTCTTTTTTAATATTGAGGATTATTTCACTTCTCTGTTCATAGGAGTAACAACATGAATTTGTGCATGAGGCAGAAATAATGAGGTGCGACTCGAGTTTCACCATCAGCTGGACGACGCTGTCCCTTTTTGGCATGGGAGAGCGGAGGGATGTTAAGAGGCGGCTCTCAGTCTGCTGCTCTCTCCCTCCGATGAGACTGACCATCAGATGCAGGCACCATCAACCCAGTAAAATACAAATAAAAAGCACATTATTTAAATGTATGCTCACTCAGCTGTGCCTCACAAGTAATACAACAACGGATCTATTACCGGTGTGATCATATAGCCTACCTCAAATGTTGAAATATATGTTTTTTTTTTATGTCCCGAACTACAATGCATTGGCAGGGCAATATGTGGTGATAATGTATTGGGCCTATAGCTTACTGCACAAACCTCATTGTTACAGTACTGTTTTTAATTGGTTAATGTTGCATAGGCTTACGTTTTTTAAGTAATGTTAAAAAAAAATCTGAGTGGTAGATCTTGGCTTGCATTTTGATTCAGAAAGTGATCTTGACTCAGAAAACGTTGGTGACCACTGTTCTAGAGTTTTCCCGTTAACACTATCAACGTTTCCCTTCACTGCGGCAATTGTGATCGAATCAACACAATATTAGCCACTTTCAATGCAACATACCGAAACAAAACTAACTATGCAAGAGATTTTGTTGTAGGCAGAACGCATCAGAGTAGGATTCTATTGCATTGACATGCATGTATTCTACACAGACCGGTGCGGCATAAACAATCAGAGCTGCAGTAGGCCTATATGCAAATAGACCATTGCTACATATGGATCGGTGCCATTTACTTTGAACTGGACTGTGTTTACAGCATGAGTAAATGCTGCTTGTTTCGAGATCAGAGCGCTGCATGTAGCAACGTGTGCACATTTTGTTAATATCCTTTGCTAGTTAGTGAGTTATTAGCCCAGTTATAGATACTTTATAGTCAGCAACAGGGGAGTGATTGCTTCCTACAAGAGCACAAAACGTGTACATTTCTAGACATCTTTGAAAAAAAATAGTCAGGTAAAGAGCTTTTTTTTTTTGTCTTAAAGGGGCATTGTTGAATTTTGAGACAGGCTTGAATAAGCTAAGTAACCAATAGGCAGAGGGTAGCATAATTTGTCTTATTCTCTGTAATAATGGTACGGGATTAATAATGCACTTCATTTTGTAAAGTGGTTTCTTGCACCAAACAACAACACATTTTCAGTCACCTCCTTGTCTGAAGGACAAGTAGATAAACAGGTTAATGTCAAGCCCTGCAGGTTTCTTTCAAAAGTCTAATGGAATGTAGGCCTACATTGAACACCACACATTGGCTGCTACTGTAGGCTGAATGATAGAACAGCTATGTCCATGTAAAAATGTTATGGGATGCATTTTCTCCATTGTTTTTGATGGTAGGCCACTCTGGTAGGCCTACATTATGATCAAATAGCCACAGTAGCCTACTTGGCCACTGTTAAACAGCCTCAGTATTCACAGTAAACGCGCACTAGAAGTTGCAAAGAATTTTTACAACGTTCAAGTTTGCACTCAGCAGACCTGAAATTTGCTCAGCTCCTACATTTCTGGAGGGAACAAAATAGCTAAATGGTTGCAAAATAGCTAAAAATAAGTTAAAAAGCAGCTAATGTGCTAAAGTTGTCCGTGATGAAATTTGAACACGCAACCTTTAGGTTGCTAGACGTTTGCGTCCTTTCGTTTTTGCCTTAAGTAACCGTCTGTCTAATGTAACCATGCCAAATTTAACATATCATACTAATTTGAGTGTCCCAGATTTACATTCTCTATCTTATGTATAGTCTATGAGACCAGGTTGCATGTTTTGGGTATGCTTGTCATTGGCAAGGACTAGGGAGTTTTTGTTCAGATAAAAATAAATGGAATATAGCTAAGCACAGGCAAAATCCTAGAGGAAAACCTGGTTCAGTCTGCTTTCCAATAGACACCGTGAGACAAATTCACCTTTCAGCAGGACAAAAACCTAAAACACAAGAACAAATATACACTGGAGTAGCTTACCAAGACGACATTGAATGTTCCTGAGTGGCATAGTTACAGTTTTGACTTAAATCAGCTTGAAAATCTATGGCAAGACTTGAAAATGGCTGTCTAGCAATGATCAACAACCAATTTGACAGAGCTTGAATAATATTGTACAATCCAGGAACTCTTAGAGATTTACCCAGAAAAACTCACAGCTATAATCACTGCCAAAGGTGATTCTAACATGCATTGACTCAGGGGTGTGAATACTTATGTAAATTAGGTATTTGTGTATTTCATTTTCAATACATTTGCAAAAATGTCTAAAAACAGGTTTTCACTTTGTCATTATGGGGTAAACACACTCCATAACAGGTTGTTCTACCTGGTAGGTGGCAGCGTCTAGGTTGGACAGAGCCACATAGAGCAGGTTGTTCTGCAGGGTGTAGATCCCAGAAGGAATGGCCAGCTTCAGGGTCTCTATAGGCTTGTGGGCTATCTCCTGCCTCAGAATACTGCTCAGGGCCCGAACACTGTAGCCTGGGCCATACAGGACAGAGGGGGAGATAGAGGGAAAGTCAGATACCGAGATATAACTTGCCTAACCCTTTCATGTGTCATCCTCTAGGCCTAAATGTATACATGAACACAAAGTCTTATTTTGCTATACTACAGATGGGAAGTGGACAGCTCTATCCAGACCACTCACTGTGCTCCTTGAAGACGAGCAGCAAACAGGTAATGATCTTCATGAACTCAGCCACCACCACAGCCGAGGAGGCCAGGTAGCGGGGGCCGTCCCCCTGCAGGGTGCGGGAGTAGCGCATGGTCAGCACCAGAGAGGTGGTCTGGAACACCAGCACCCCCAGAGACAGGTACTTCAACCTGGAGGATGCCATGTTGGAGACAGATGGATGAATCATTCTGGTCAGTCTGCAGGGAGAGGAGACAACAGTTAGCCACTGCAAGGGTACAGTCTGGTCAGTCTGCAGTATGAGGGGATAGTCTTGAAACATTCAAAGGAAGGACTGATGGGCCAAAAACAAGTCAGGCTACATTGCATAAATGACAGAAAGCTAACCATTCAATTACAAACTTTATACTTGCAACTTTTGTATATTCAGTTTGATTACAGTCAAATCAGGTGACACATTCCTAGAAAGATGGTTAGCTAGCTAGTTTGCGCAGGTGTTTTATCGTTCATCAACATCAAAGGAAGCAGGCAAGATAACGATGTTACGCTCGCGCCACTGACTCAATCTCATACAGTTTGATAGTGCAAGACTAGCAGACATACCTGGTAGCACCGGAAAGCTAGCTAGGTAATACAAAAGTTGAAGAATTACGGCTCAATTTCAACAAGTGTGAGCTGTAGTGCTAGCTAATGAGCTCAGCTGTCTGTTAGTAGCTAGCCAGGTAACTTATCCACAGTTCAAGTCCTCGCGTCCATTGACCCAGGCTGGCTCACAGCAACGGGATTCAACCATTGCCCCTTCATACCGATATAGCTGTCCATAATACCATAATTGTTTTATGTCCTATGACAGTATATATTCTAAAGTTGCAACGACATAGCTAAGTCAAAAGCATTTTGTATGATTTTACTTCCTTGTACAGTATTTTTGCTTCCTCATCTATTCAGAACACTAAGAACTAACCTTCAGCCCGATCTCCACTGCCCTCTGCTGGATGGGTGGACCATATAAATACAATTAATTATATTTCTATGGGGCGGACAGGATTTTGCTGCAAACTGTAGTGGCATTGTCTGTGAGTTTTAGATGAATCTGGTCTTTAATTTATGTAAGATATGTCCAGACATCCTTCAAGTATGCTCATACTGGCAAGTAAGGTCACATGAATTTAGGTTTGAGGCAATGATGGACTACATCCTGTGTGTTCCTCCAGGCTCCATTTTTAAGATTGTGGCTTCAATCCCCCCAGAGATCACATACACACAGTTTAAATGTATGCACTCACTATACTGTAAGTCACTTTGAATAAAATTGTCTGCCAAGCAGCATAATATCAATGCTTTGCTTTGATTATTGCTTTATCAGTGAATTTGTTCAGTGTAATACAGAGCACAATTTGTTGTAAAATGCATGGATGTTTTAACCTTTTTGTGTTCATTTCTAAAAACAATTCCTGTGAATAACCATGAAAGAATGGCACATGCACAATAGGCGGATGGATCTGAAAAGTCGGACTTTATTTATGTATATAATATGCACTTGATCATTTGTTTGGTTTTTTTCAATCAGACGGGGTTTGTTCTTTATAAAACAGGCATCTTCTACATTATACAAACATGAGGGGAAACTACTTCATTCATATAACATGTATATAGTTAACAGAAAAATAAAGTACAATAAACATAAACATTTTTTATATACAGCATGTAAAAAATAGCCTTGAATAATGAGGCATTTAAGTGTAAATACCATGCTCCATGAGCTCTGCTGAATTGATCACGTGGATTGTCCAATGAGCCAAAAGGCCTAGACCCAGAGATAGCACATTGGAAGTAATTTGTAGTGGATATTAAGTGCCAGAGATGGGGAATGGGAAATAACTTTTGGGATATTGGTTTGTGGTTTGCTCATAGAGGCACTTAGTAATTTTCACAAAACAATTTACATTATCATAACAGTCTTATAATGATTGACTGCAAATCACCATGTCAGGTGTGTGTGTATTTGGATCTTGCTCTGTCAAAATACATTCATCTAGAATACATTGTAACAATAATCTACTTTGATTAGACAATACGTCCAAATGCAACATTTCCAAACAATACCTTAAACCGTGAACAATGTTGTGGATATACAATGATTTGCAATGAGTTTTTGGCTAACAAGTCAATTTGGTCTTGGAGACATTGATGTTCCATTTAACGGTGCAAAATAGAAACAATCAATGATTATCTGTAGTCACAGAGCGGTCACATAAGGCTGTGGCAAAATAGAAACAATCAATGATTATCTGTAGTCACAGAGCGGTCACATAAGGCTGTGGCAAAATAGAAACAATCAATGATTATCTGTAGTCACAGAGCGGTCACATAAGGCTGTGGCAAAATAGAAACAATCAATGATTATCTGTAGTCACAGAGCGGTCACATAAGGCTGTGGCAAAATAGAAACAATCAATGATTATCTGTAGTCACAGAGCGGTCACATAAGGCTGTGCTCATATGAGAAACATTATGAAGACAAAAATACTAATTACAAAACAAACATCTTCAGACTTGGCTTATGAATCACAAAACGATTAAAGAAGGTGCACTGATTGTAATCAAGCAAAAAGGTGATTAAATGATTTTGGGGAAAAAGCAACTGCCATATCAAACAAAAAAAGTACAACTTCAGAACCAGTCAAACTGTTGAGAGCAGTGATAATATTGAACAATATTCAGTAAAATAGAATAGTAATAGCTTTAAAAAAGTATAAGCTTTAAAAGTAACAAGTATCAGAGTCAAACCTTGTTCTTTAACAGTGGGGGCAGGACTTACTAAGGTGGTTGACTTGGTGGTGTAAAGCATATTCATCGTATTGCACACACCATAGTGAAACCCCCATGGTGAGAGACCATCTATAGAGAGACACATAGTGCAACATCCAATTATGCCCTTCTCTTTCATTTGGTATTTCATCAGTCACCATATTTTCTTCTGTATCCATAAATGTACGATACATCTTAAACTCTTCAGTAACACAGATTCTCCTGACACAGAACACCACAGCCACAACTTACTAACATCCCTCCCAAGGTGTGGGCGAGTACAGAGGCAACACTGTAACAGAGGCAAGAATGAAAAAGAATACAGGATAAATGACATCTATTTACACCACAGTTTCGCTTAGAACCAAACATTGAAGAGATGTATCTGTATGTTTTTAGCTTGTATGTGTGTGTGTACCTTTCTAACCACACGACAACAGCCCCTCAAAATAGCCTCACCACATTTTAATGAGAAACATTCCAAAATACAAATCCTACGTTTTTGCTTAAAGAACACAACTTAACATAAGTGAACGGACCCATCATATAAAAAGTAGAGTTAATTTTCAATGAAACATTAGTATGTCATTGGCAGGTCTACATAAAACAAAGTGAATGAAAAAGATAGCATGTTAAATGAGCAAATATGTCCTTAAAATTTTTCTAAGATAAGGCTTAGCCAAAAGAAACGGCCCAAAAGGGATGACAAGAAGAAGCAGATTAAGCCAAATGAAGAATATCCAATGTCGATTCTGTCTTGGTGCCTTCTTGAACAGTCCATTTTCCTTACAGTACATGATCACTGTTTGGCTCTGGTTCCTTGTTTGTTTTCTGATGATCAGTCATTTCAAACTGGCCAAGGTACTCAAACAGTTTTTGGTTTTAGTTAGCAATACTCAAAAGAGACTATACACTATCTTTAAGTGCAAAATGGAAGAAAAGCATGTAACAATGAAGTGTAAAAGTGATTACTGTAACCAGAGAGAGGATAAGACAAAACAAATGATGAAAGAAATGACTGATAATAGTTTTTAAGTGTTGTAGTTTAACTACAAAGATCAACAAAACTTTTAAGAGTTGGGCGCTTTAAGAGAGTCCTCATCTATGCAAACACCTGCATGTTGCCACGCTGAGGCTGCTGGGGGTTCTGTTGCGTCTGCTGGGACTGCGGCTGCTCCGGAATATGTGTGTGGCGGGGAGGCGGCAGTGCATGGGGGTTCCCCAGGGGGGTGGGGCTGGTGGTGACATCAGACCAGTCTGAGTTGGAGTGGGGGGAGGAGGAGGACCAGGGGTCAGGGGACTCGGGGGAGGGGGTGAGGTACGGGTGCTTGCTGGGCGGGTGAGCCGGGTGCCCCGGGGTGGTGCCCTCCGAGCCAGCGGTGGCGTAGCTGTGCTGAGAGGGAGGGGTGGGGTACTTATCCACGGGGCTCTGGATAGCCTGATATGGAGGGAGCTGCTGGCGGGACTGGCCGTCCTGCACCATGCCATGGCCGTGGGCCAGGCCGTGAGAGTGGGGGAGGCTGTGGGACAGGCTGTGCTGGAGGCCCACGTCGGGCATCTGGTACATCATGCCCTGGGTGCAGTGCAGGTGAGTAGGGCCCTGCTGAGAGTGGGGCTGGCCCTGGTTTTGCCCCTGTGACTGCACCTGCCCAGGCTGGGGCTGCTTCAGCAGGGCCTGCCCGCCCCCCGGTGCCATCATCTGGAAGGTGACAATGGGAGGCAGCTGCTCGCGGCTCATGGTGACATTCATGGGGGTGAGCAGGCCTTGGCCGTGGTGCTGGGACATGCCAGGATGGCCGTTACCAATCTGCTGGGGGAGGAGGCTGAACATGTGGCCACCGTATCCATGCTTCAGGCCCACCCAGCTCTGCTGTTGGCCCAGCATGTGGCTGACTGGAGGCAGCAGGGGCCTGGAGGAGGGGCTGCTCAGGAGAGGAGGAGAGTTGGCCGTGTTGGGGGCCCTGGCAGCGTCTCCTGTGTACGAGTGTGGAGACTCCAGGGAGTCCACAGGTGACATGGTGACTGAGCTCTCTGACAGCCCTCCTGCAGCTTTAGTGCCATTGCCACTGGCTCCTCCCACAGCTCCCACTGCAGGCCCTTCTCCTCCTGTTGGCTTCTTCCTCCGCTTAGCCTTCATGTCTTTCAGCTCTTTGGCTGTACCCCCGCCAGCACCTCCAACCTTCCCCCCGCCCCGCCTGCTCTTCTTGCCCTGGGGCCCGGGCCGCATGCCCATGTAGCCCGCTCCGTTTCCTCCACAAACCAGGGAGTGTCCCCCTCCCCCGCCCATGTGGTTGGGGCCGTTGTGTGGGCTGTGGACCAGGTTGTACTGATCGAGCAGACGTACAATGTCGTGGTGCATGCGCTCCTGTGCGGTGTCACGGGGCAGCCGGTCCAGGTGGTCTGTGATGTCCCTATTAGAGTAGTGGTCCAGCAGAACCTGGGCCGCCTCAAAACTACCCTCTCTGGCTGCCAGGAACAACGGGGTCTCCTCCTGGAAAAACACAATGGGCAAAACAACCCATGAAGACATGTATATGTACAAAGCTAATAAAACATGATACTAAAGTGATATAATATGGGACATAGCTTGACATAAAGGCTACTTTTGAGGTATGAAAACTTGTGCAAAACAAGATGGTGATGTGAAATGTAAACCGAGGTAGTACAGACCTTGTTGTCCTGCATGTCTCTGTTGGCTCCATTCTTCAGCAGCACCAGGGTGGCCTCCACATTGTTCACAGCAGCTGCCCAGTGCAGAGCAGACTTACCTGAGAGAGACAGAGAAAGATAAAAAATTGGTCTGGAAGAAAACTAAAACATTTACATTTTTTGTTTAATTCCCCTTTGATTGCGCATCTGGCACTTTAATTGCGCATCTAACGAGTGAGGAATGTTCTGTCTAATGTGCTGGTCTAGCGATGGTTCTGTACTGCCGATGCTCATTTCATGGAAAAGTTAGCAAATAACAAATAATAGATACAAATGATATACTTAAGCCAGGTAAGCCTACTTTGCAGTTAACATTTAATTGATAAGGACTTGGGGAAAGTATTTAGGTCAATCCACAAGATGGTTATCACATCAACTGGCTTCACACAGAGTGATAGACAAGCACGAGCATCACACAGACGTGGGCAATATTGCTGGAAATTACTTGGCAGATATTGTGTTAGGTTTGGCTTTTTAAGCCAATAGTGGCTAACCAGGGATGGGATAATGTCAATGTTGATTAGATAGTAGCTGGGAGCTTGCGGTGCCTGATACTTGTGAGATTTGTTAATGAAAGTTTGCGGTGGAGCACGTGAAAAATTGCATGTACTTTCAATTGTTTGGTGAGCTACTCATAGGTGGGCTGCGAGCTACTGGTAGCTAGTGATCGACCTGTTGGAGACACCTGACACTCAATATGCATGTAGAAACAATGCCAGGGCTCACCGTGGTCGTCGACAGCATTGATGTCCGCGTGGCAGTGCACCAGTTCCTCCACTATGCCCTCCACAGCCAGCCTGGCAGCCAGGATTAGAGGTGTGGTGCCATCGTTCATCCTGGCATCCAACTCAGTGGCCCGGTTACGGATCAGGATCTGAGAAGGGAACAGAGTGTTAACTCAAAAAGCTCAATACGGTTTTTCAACCTTTGCTCATGTGAGCACAGTACCAGCACTAGTTTATCAACTGCTCTAATGAGAGTGTCTTTTCAGCCCTCCAATCTCCTGATTCTGCCTCCTCAACCCTCCTCTCCTCCCTTTCTGCATCTTTTGACTCTCTATGTCCCCTATCCTCCCGGCCGGCTCGGTCCTCCCCTCCTGCTCCGTGGCTTGACGACTCATTGCGAGCTCACAGAACAGGGCTCCGGGCAGCCGAGCGGAAATGGAGGAAAACTAGACTCCCTGCCGACCTGTCATCTTTTCACTCCCTCCTCTCTACATTTTCTTCCTCTGTTTCTGCTGCTAAAGCCACTTTCTACCACTCTAAATTTCAAGCCTCTGCCTCTAACCCTAGGAAGCTCTTTGCCACCTTCTCCTCCCTGCTGAATCCTCCTCCTCCTCCCCCTCCCTCCTCCCTCTCTGTGGATGACTTCGTCAACCATTTTGAAAAGAAGGTTGACGACATCCGATCCTCATTTATTAAGTCAAATGACACCGCTGGTCCTGCTCACACTGCCCTACCCTATGCTTTGACTTCTTTCTCCCCTTTCTCTCCAGATGAAATCTTGCGACTTGTGACGGCCGGCCGCCCAACAACCTGCCCGCTTGACCCTATCCCCTCCTCTCTTCTCCAGACCATTTCCGGAGACCTTCTCCCTTACTTCACCTCACTCATCAACTCATCCTTGACCACTGGCTATGTCCCTTGCGTCTTCAAGAGAGCGAGAGTTGCACCCCTTCTCAAAAAACCTACACTCGATCCCTCCGATGTCAACAACTACAGACCAGTATCCCTTCTTTCTTTTCTCTCCAAAACTCTTGAGCGTGCAGTCTTTAGCCAACTCTCTTGCTATCTCTCTCAGAATGACCTTCTTGATCCAAACCAGTCCGGTTTCAAGACTGGTCATTCAACTGAGACTGCACTTCTCTGTGTCACAGAGGCTCTCCGCACTGCTAACTCTCTCTCCTCTGCTCTCATCCTTCTAGACCTATCTGCTGCCTTTGATACTGTGAACCATCAGATCCTCCTCTCCACCCTCTCCGAGTTGGGCATCTCCGGCGCGGCTCACTCTTGGATTGCGTCCTACCTCACAGGTCGCTCCTACCAGGTGGGGTGGCGAGAATCTGTCTCCGCACCACGTGCTCTCACCACTGGTGTCCCCCAGGGATCAGTTCTAGGCCCTCTCCTATTCTCTCTATACACCAAGTCACTTGGCTCTGTCATATCCTCACATGGTCTCTCCTATCATTGCTACGCAGACGACACACAATTCATCTTCTCCTTTCCCCCTTCTGATAACCAGGTGGCGAATCGCATCTCTGCATGTCTGGCAGACATATCAGTGTGGATGACGGATCACCACCTCAAGCTGAACCTCGGCAAGACGGAGCTGCTCTTCCTCCCGGGGAAGGACTGCCCGCTCCATGATCTCGCCATCACTGTTGACAACTCCGTTGTGTCCTCCTCCCAGAGTGCAAAGAACCTTGGCGTGACCCTGGACAACACCCTGTCATTCTCCGCTAACATCAAAGCGGTGACCCGATCATGTAGGTTCATGCTAAACAACATTCGCAGAGTACGACCCTACCTTACACAGGAAGCGGCACAGGTCCTAATCCAGGCACTTGTCATCTCCCGTCTGGATTACTGCAACTCGCTGTTGGCTGGGCTCCCTGCCTGTGCCATTAAACCCCTTCAACTCATCCAGAACGCTGCAGCCCGTCTGGTGTTCAACCTTCCCAAGTTCTCTCACGTCACCCCGCTCCTCCGCACACTCCACTGGCTTCCAGTTGAAGCCCGCATCTGCTACAAGACCATGGTGCTTGCCTACGGAGCTGTGAGGGGAACGGCACCTCCGTACCTTCAGGCTCTGATCAGTCCCTACACCCAAACGAGGGCATTGCGTTCATCCACATCTGGCCTGCTGGCCCCCCTACCTCTGCGGAAGCACAGTTCCCGCTCAGCCCAGTCAAAACTGTTCGCTGCTCTGGCACCCCAATGGTGGAACAAGCTCCCTCACGACGCCAGGACAGCAGAGTCACTCACCACCTTCCGGGAGACACTTGAAACCCCACCTCTTTAAGGAATACCTGGGATAGGATAAAAGTAATCCTTCTACCCCCCCCAAAAAAAAAAAAAAAAAAATATATATATATATATATATATTTTATTTTTTTGGGGGGGTAGAAGGATTACTTTTATCCTATATACATATACACACACAGTGGGGAGAACAAGTATTTGATACACTGCCGATTTTGCAGGTTTTCCTACTTACAAAGTATGTAGAGGTCTGTAATTCTTATCATAGGTACACTTCAACTGTGAGAGACGGAATCTAAAACAAAAATCCAGAAAATCACATTGTGTGATTTTTAAGTAATTAATTAGCATTTTATTGCATGACATAAATATTTGATCTCCTACCAACCAGTAAGAATTCCGGCTCTCACAGACCTGTTCGTTTTTCTTTAAGAAGCCCTCCTGTTCTCCACTCATTACCTGTATTAACTGCACCTGTTTGAACTCGTTACCTGTATAAAAGACACCTGTCCACACACTCAATCAAACAGACTCCAACCTCTCCACAATGGCCAAGACCAGAGAGCTGTGTAAGGACATCAGGGATACAATTGTAGACCTGCACAAGGCTGGGATGGGCTACAGGACAATAGGCAAGCAGCTTGGTGAGAAGGCAACAACTGTTGGCGCAATTATTAGAAAATTGAAGAAGTTCAAGATGACGGTCAATCACCCTCGGTCTGGGGCTCCATGCAAGATCTCACCTCGTGGGGCATCAATGATCATGAGGAAGGTGAGGGATCAGCCCAGAACTACACGGCAGGACCTGGTCAATGACCTGAAGAGAGCTGGGACCACAGTCTCAAAGAAAACCATTAGTAACACACTACGCCGTCATGGATTAAAATCCTGCAGCGCACGCAAGGTCCCCCTGCTCAAGCCAGCGCATGTCCAGGCCCGTCTGAAGTTTGCCAATGACCATCTGGATGATCCAGAGGAGGAATGGGAGAAGGTCATGTGGTCTGATGAGACAAAAATAGAGCTTTTTGGTCTAAACACCATCCCAACCGTGAAGCATGGAGGTGGAAACATCATTCTTTGGGGATGCTTTTCTGCAAAGGGGACAGGACGACTGCACCGTATTGAGGGGAGGATGGATGGGGCCATGTATCGCGAGATCTTGGCCAACAACCTCCTTCCCTCAGTAAGAGCATTGAAGATGGGTCGTGGCTGGGTCTTCCAGCATGACAACGACCCGAAACACACAGCCAGGGCAACTAAGGAGTGGCTTCGTAAGAAGCATCTCAAGGTCCTGGAGTGGCCTAGCCAGTCTCCAGACCTGAACTCAATAGAAAATCTTTGGAGGGAGCTGAAAGTCCGTATTGGCCAGCGACAGCCCCGAAACCTGAAGGATCTGGAGAAGGTCTGTATGGAGGAGTGGGCCAAAATCCCTGCTGCAGTGTGTGCAAACCTGGTCAAGACCTACAGGAAACGTATGATCTCTGTAATTGCAAACAAAGGTTTCTGTACCAAATATTAAGTTCTGCTTTTCTGATGTATCAAATACTTATGTCATGCAATAAAATGCAAATTAATTACTTAAAAATCACACAATGTGATTTTCTGGATTTTTGTTTTAGATTCCGTCTCTCACAGTTGAAGTGTACCTAGGATAAAAATTACAGACCTCTACATGCTTTGTAAGTAGGAAAACCTGCAAAATCGGCAGTGTATCAAATACTTGTTCTCCCCACTGTATGTATATATATATATATATATATAGTAAAGTGGTTGTCCCACTGGCTATCATAAGGTGAATGCACCAATTTGTAAGTCGCTCTGGATAAGAGCGTCTGCTAAATGACGAAAATGTAAATGAATATGTTACCTGGAACACTCCCTGGGCATCGGCCGCCACAGCAGCGTGGAGAGGGGTGCGACCCATGTTGTCGTGAGCATTGGCATCTGCCCCGGCGTCCAGCAGCCTTTTGGCGGCATCGGCCCGGGCGTAGCGAGCCGCCAGGTGGAGTGCCGTCTCCCCGGTGCGATCCGTTTGGGCCATGAGTGTTGCACCCTGGGTGATGAGGTCTGAGATGACGTTGGGTCCTGGCTCATCTCCCCCGCTCTCCTCTTCCTCTTCCGCCTGCAGGCCGCAATCAGACGCCCCTCCGTTTCGTAGAGAAGCCAGCATCAAGGGGGTGAAGCCATCTGGATGAGAATTTTGCAATTTGGTCAGAGCAAAAAAATATACAGTTACACCAAGGGCAATCAGTCAGGTATCCTTATACTTGAATGACAACAATCCTAATCAATCTTAAAATCTACCTGGTCCTTTGACATTGACATCCAGGCAGTCCGCTTCCAGATCAGCCTGTGGTGGAGTGAGAGAGATGTCAGCAGCCTTGTGGTGTTGTAAGGTCCACTCCCGTCTGTCCACTCCTCCATCCACACCCAGAGGCAGTAGGGGCTTGTCCTCAGTCTGGGGGAGAGGAGATATTTAGATACTCACTCAATGCATCATGCTGGTATGCAACTGGTGAGCCTTCTGACCCAAAATGGCTGCCAAGAATGGCTCTCTTCTTTCTCATTCTCACCCTTGGTTTCTTGGGCGGAGCCTCCTCTTCCATCCATCTCTGGCTCTGGCCTCCGTCCATCATCCCTCCATCCTGGGTCTTGAAGTTCCTGCAGGGAAGAGAGGAAGAAGAGGAAAGGGTGTGGAGAATGAGGCTCTACATTATGGTACATTGGTCAAACATTTGTCTCAGTTCAGAGTATGGTACACTATAGAGGTACACTATTTTGTCTTTATTCCCGGTATAGTGCAGTAATTAAAAAAAGTAAATATATAAGTGCAACATGTAAAGTGCTCGTCCCATGTTTCATGAGCTGAAATAAAAGTTATTGACCACAAACACAATTGCATTTTATCGATGGCAATTTGAATGCACAGAGATACCGTGATGAGATCCTGAGGCCCATTGTCATGCCATTCATCCGCCACAATCACCTTATGTTTCAGCATGATAATGCACAGCCCCATGTATCTGTACACAATTCCTGGAAGTTGAAAACGTCCCAGTTCTTCCATGGCCTGCATACTCACCAGACATGTCACTCATTGTGCATGTTTGGGATGCTCTGGATTGACGTGTACGACAGTGTGTTTCAGTTCCCGCAAATATCCAGCAACTTAGCACAACCATTGAGGAGGCCACAGGCCACAATCAACAGCCTGATCAACTATGCGAAAGAGATGTGTCGCGCTACATGAGGCAAATGGTGGTCAAACCAGATACTGACTAGTTTTCTGATCCACACCCCTACTTTTTTTTCCCCCAGGTATCTGTGACCAACAGATGCATATCTGTATTCCAAGTCATGTGAAATCCATAGAAATCCTAATTTATTTATTTCAATTGACTGATTTCCTTATATGAACTGTAACTCAGTAAAATATTTGAAATTGTTGCATGTTGCGTTTATATTTTTGTTCAATATATACACTACCGGTCAAAAGTTTTAGAACACCTACTCATTCAAGGGTTTTTATTTATTTTTACTATTTTCTACATTGTAGAATAATAGTGAAGAAATCAAAACTATGAAATAACACATATGGAATCATGTAGTAACCAAAAAAGTGTTAAACAAATGAAAATATATTTTATATTTGAGATTCTTCAAATAGCCACCCTTTGCCTTGATGACAGCTTTGCACACTCTTGGCATTCTCTCAACCAGCTTCATGTGGTAGTCACCTGGAATGCATTTAAATTAACAGGTGTGTCTTGTTAATTTGATTTCCTTCTTAATGCGTTTGAGCCAATCAGTTGTGTTGTGACAAGGTAGGGGGGGGGTATACAGAAGATAGCCCTATTTCGTAAAAGACCAAGTCCATATTATGGCAAGAACAGCTCAAATAAGCAAAGATAAATGACAGTCTATCATTACTTTAAGACATGGTCAGTCAATACGGAAAATTTAAAGAACTTTGAACGTTTCTTCAAGTGCAGTCGCAAAAACCATCAAGCGCAATGATGAAACTTGCTCTCATGAGGACCAGCCTCAGAAATTGCAACCCAAATAAATGATTCACAGAGTTCAAGTAACAGACAAATCTCAACATCAACTGTTCAGAGGAGACTGTGTGAATCATGGTCAAATTGCTGCAAAGAAACCACTACTAAAGGACACCAATAAGAAGAAGAGACTTGCTTGGGCCAAGAAACACAAGCAATGGACATTAGACCGGTGGAAATGTGTCCTTTGGTCTGGAGTCCAAATTTGAGATTTTTGGTTCCAATTTGAGATTTTTGTGGGTGAATGGATGATCTCCACATGTGTATTTCCCACCGTAAAGCATAGAGGAGGTGGTGTTTTGGTGTGGGGGTGCTTTGCTGGTGACAATGTCTGTGATTTATTTAGTATTCAAGGCACACTTAACCAGCATGGCTACCACAGCATTCTGCAGCGATACGCCATCCCATCTGGTTTGGGCTTAGTGGGACTATCATTTGTTTTTCAACAGGAAAATGACCCAACACACCTTCCAGGCTGTATAAGGGCTATTTGACCAAGAAGGAGAGTGATGGAGTGCGCCACAACCCCCTGACCTTAATCAAATTGAGATGGTTTGGGATGAGTCTGACCGCAGAGTGAAGGAAAAGTAGCCAACAAGTGCTCAGCATTTGTGGGAACTCCTTCAAGACTGTTGGAAAAGCATTCCAGGTGAAGCTGGTTGAGAGAATGCCAAGAGTGTGAAAAGCTGTCATCAAGGCAAAGGGTGGCTATTTGAAGAATCTCAAATATAAAATATATTTTCATTTGTTTAACACTTTTTTGGTTACTGCATGATTCCATATGTGTTATTTCATAGTTTTGATGTCTTCACTATTATTCTATAATGTAGAAAAACCCTTGAATGAGTAGGTGTTCTAAAACTTTTGACCGGTAGTGTGTGTGTGTGTGTGTGTGTGTGTGTGTATGTGTGTGTATGTGTATGTGTATATATTAGACCATATGCAGGACCTGGTCAAAAGCAGTGCACTATACAGGGAATAGGGTGCCATTTCGGACGCAACCTCTGTCTTTTCTCCACTCACTTCATGCCGAAGTCGTCCTGGCCCAGGGGCTCTCTCCTCTTGTCGTCTTTCTTGGCCAGGAAGCCATCGGGGAGCCAGAGGATGCCGTGTTTGCGTTTCCTCTTGGCGGCCAGCACGCCCAGCACCAGGATGAGCAGGATGATGACAGCTGCTCCCATAGCCAGGTACAGCATGAAGGGGGGCTTCTGGGGGTCCATAGGGTCACCTGGAGGAGGAGACATGGAACTCTTAACTAGGTGATGCAATCTGAAATGGGCTCTGCATTCAGAGCATGAGTAATGGAGCAAAGTGTCCATTTTTAGCAAAGAACATAATAAGTGGGTTTAATCAGGTGTGCTTATGTAACATTACCATTAGGGTGGTTTACATTTACATTTACGTCATTTAGCAGACGCTCTTATCCAGAGCGACTTACAAATTGGTGCATTCACCTTATAGCCAGTGGGATAACCACTTTACAATTATTCTTTTTTTTTTTTTTTTTTTTTTGGGGGGGTAAGGTGGGGGGGTAGAAGGATTACTTTATCCTATCCCAGGTGTTCCTTAAAGAGGTGGGGTTTCAAATGTCTCCGGAAGGTGGTGAGTGACTCCGCTGTCCTGGCGTCGTGAGGGAGCTTGTTCCACCATTGGGGTGCCAGAGCAGCGAACAGTTTTGACTGGGCTGAGCGGGAACTGTGCTTCAGCAGAGGTAGGGGAGCCAGCAGGCCAGAGGTGGATGAACGCAATGCCCTCGTTTGGGTGTAGGGACTGATCAGAGCCTGAAGGTACGGAGGTGCCGTTCCCCTCACAGCTCCGTAGGCAAGCACCATGGTCTTGTAGCAGATGCGAGCTTCAACTGGAAGCCAGTGTAGTGTGCGGAGGAGCGGGGTGACGTGAGAGAACTTGGGAAGGTTGAACACCAGACGGGCTGCGGCATTCTAGATGAGTTGTAGGGGTTTAATGGCACAGGCAGGGAGCCCAGCCAACAGCGAGTTGCAGTAATCCAGACGGGAGATGCCTGGATTAGGACCTGTGCCGCTTCCTGTGTAAGGCAGGGTCGTACTCTCCGAATGTTGTAGGGCATGAACCTACAGGATCGGGTCACCGCCTTGATGTGGTGTTTGTGAAATCACAATAGGAAAAAGGAGAGGGACTTACTGTCGACAGAGACCACAGGGTAGGGCAGCGCAGACTTTAGGTACTCTGCAGCGATGAAGGATGCAACCAGCTCTGTGCTGGAGAAACAGTCCATGGAGATCTCAGCACACTTTCGGTTATCAATCTCCAGGTACACCTTAGACCTGCAACAAACACAACTTCGGTTAGGCTTACTTCACAACATGGAGGACTATTCACACTTCATCTTATCTAGCAGTTAAAGAGAGAGAGAAAGACATCTCCTTACCCGAGAACCTCCTTGTCCATCTCCCGTTTGCCTCTACGTTTCATTGTAGCAGACTGTCCTTCATTGTCGTTGTCGTGCTCCAGAGTATAGTAAGGATACACCATAGGTCTCTGCTGGGCGTCCATTTTGACACGGAGGTTGGTGTGCAGCAGGGTTCCCAGGGAGCGCAGGAAGCCTCTCAAGTCTCCCAGCAGCTCCTCAGGCTGCAGTAACACTATGATCACCAGTGTGCCATCAGCCACCTTAGCAGGGGTGTCCTCAGAGCAGTCCAGGCCGTCCCAGCCACATGCCTCTGTGTTACAGCTCTTGTCACAGATCTTGTTTGCATAGTGGTCCGCACAGTACTTATCATACCTGTAGATATGAAAGGGCAGAGGGAGGGGGTTAGGGAATTCAGAAGACTCTAGGACTTCCTGTGTGTTAAAAAGCTTTAAAATCTGAATTTATTGTATACATTTTCTCGTAATAATCTTAATATTCTCTTAATAAGGATATACACTCAGTGGGCCGTTTATTAGCTACACCACCCCATTCACGAAAATGCTTCGCTCCTACAGACAGGGAGTCACGTGGCCGTGGCTTGATATATAAAGCAGGCAGACAGGTATCAAGGCATTCAGTTACTGTTCGATTGAAAGTTAGATTGGGCAAAACGGGTGACCTAAGCGACTGAGTGTGGTATCGGTGCCAGGCGTGCCAGTTCCAGAATCAGAAACGACCGGCCTCCTGGGCTTTACACGCACAACAGTGTCTAGGGTTTACCGAGAATGGTGCGACAAACAAAAAACATCTAGTCAGCGGCAGTCCTGTGGGCAAAAACAGCTTGTTGATGAGAGGTCGAAGGAGAATGGCAAGAATCGTGCAAGCTAACAGGCGGGCCACAAACAGGCAAATAACAGCGCAGTACAACAGTGGTGTGCAGAACGGCATCTCGGAACGCACAACTCGTCGGTCCTTGTCACGGATGGGCTATTGCAGCAGACGACCACACCGGGTTCCACTCCTATCAGCTAAAAACAAGAAGCTGCTCCAGTGGGCACGCGATCAACAACACTGGAAATTGAGGAGTGGAAAAACACAGCCTGGACTGATGAATCCTGGTTGCTGTTGCGTCATGCTGATGGCAGAGTCAGGATTTGGCGTAAGCAGTCCATGGCCCAATCCTGCCTGGTGTCAACAGTACAGGGTGGTGCGGTGGTGTAATGGTGTGTGGAATGTTATCCTGGCACATGTTACGTCCCTTGATACCAATTGGGCAACGTTTCCATGCCCTGAAGAATTCAAGCTGTTCTGGAGGCAAAGGGGGGTTCGACCCGGTACTAGATTGGTGTACCTAATAAACTGGCCACTGAGTGTACATGTGTATTGATGTGTTTATGTTGTTACTAACTCTTGTACATACTTGCAGTATGACTTTGTGCTCTCTTGACACTCAAAGCTGTCGAAGAGGCAGCCGGAGTTGTCACACTCCGGGTCACAGCGGCCGTTACGGAACAGCTCCCAGCAGGGCACGGGGGCGGTGCAGTTGACCCATGGCCGGTGCCAATGTAGAGAACAGTCCCCGCCGTCCCACTGGCACTCATGGTTGTTGCACTGCGGGTCACACTTCGTATCCCCGGACCGCTGCTCACACTCTACATAAGGGCAGGAGGGGGTGCGGGGGGACTGGTCGAAAATGACATTCTCACAGTGCCTGCCGGAGAAGTGGGCTGGGCAGTGACAGCTGTACTGGTGTGGGTCCTTCATACAGGTGCCTCCATTCAGACAGGGCCGGTTCTGGCAGCTGTGGGCGGTCTCGCAGCGTGACCCACTGAAGCCTGGCTGGCAACGGCAGTGCAGATGATCACCCTGAGAATCCTGGCAGTGCCCGCCGTTCTGGCAACGCAGCTGGGCACAGTTGTAGCCCTCTACCTCTCCACAGTTGAAGCCAGTGAAACTCTGAACAAGGAGACGAGAGAGAGTAGGCATCAGACATGTGAACTGACTGGTTAGGCAGATACCTGTGGACTCGGTTTTACATTCATAACCTACATTCCTGCAGTTGACTAGTCAGAAAACCTGTGAGAATGTACTAAGTTTGGTCTCTTCCTAGAACACTGCTGTTCTCAGTCATACCTGAACTATGTTGTCTCACCCTCTGAAGCAAAGGTAAGAATAAGGAGGAGGAGAATGGTTAGTAGTTAGGGAAACAAGCCAGTAGGGAAAGAATAGACACTCAGCCACTCACTCCACAGCTACATTAGAGGTGAATACAATGTTATACAGCACAATGCAGTTTCAATGCAGTTGTAAATCCATTCAAAAGAAAGAGATAAAGATCAGCAAACTGGTACATGGAGTACATAGAAACACAGCAGTCTGGCAATTGGAAAACAAACATTGTAAAAGGGTACAGTAACATTATATGACTTACTGGTTGACAGGTGCATGTGTATCCATGCACTGAGCTCATGTTCATGGAGCAGGTACCACTGTTATGGCACGGCTTAGACTGGCACAGATCCACCATGGACTCACAGAGTCGTCCTAAAAAAGAGAGAGATGTCATGTTACACAGCATGAGTGCGGGGTATGCTAGGTAACAGGTGTTGATGTGTCTTAAAACATATACAGAGGGGTGTAGTTCTATACCTGTGTAGCCCAGGCGACAGCGGCACTGGTAGTCGTTGGCCAGCTGCACACAGTCCAGGCTACCAGGAGAGTGACAGGGTCCAGAGAGACACTCATTGACGTCCCCCTCACAGTGCTCCCCAGCGAAGCCAGGGGGGCAGGAGCAGGTGTAGCGGCCCACCCCATCCACACACTGGCCCCCGTTCAGACAGCGAGGCCCCAAGGAGCCAGGCTTGGGAGCACAGTCGTCCACGTTCACCTCACACTGAACACCTACAGAGGGGGAGAGGAGAGAGAGGAAAGACCATCGGTTGAGAGGTCAGGTTAGACCATCGGTTGTAGTTGTACATTATGTAAAACCAATGGGCAAGGAAAAAAAAGAGAGAGAAAGAGATTGATAAAACAAGAGAGAATCTTCCGGTATCTGCTTACCATGTGTGCCAGGTGGGCAGGCGCAGGAGAAGCGGTTGATGAGGTTGATGCAGGTTCCTCCATGACGACAAGGGTTAGAGTGACACTCATCCACGTCATACTCACAGTTCACCCCCTGGTAGCCAGCCTTGCACTGGAACAGAGACACATTGTTAGATGTTCACACAGACACACATAGATGCACACACACACACACACACACACACACACACACACACACACACACACACACACACAACTTACCATACACTCATATGTGCCCTGGTAGTCCATGCAGGTGGCTCCGTTGCGGCAGGGGTTGGACTGGCACTCGTCCACAGTCTTGTCACAGTAGCTGCCAGTGTAGCCAGGCTGGCACTGACACTTGTGGGCATTACCAACATTCACACAGCGACCCATGTACTTACACACCATCTCCACTGGAATACCTGACAGAGACACACACAACATATTAGCCATAATCAGCATGGTTTACATACCTTTACATCATCTTTATATTTCATCCATCTGTCTTTGTAAACATGTAATTTGATTAAAGGGATAGTTTGGGATTTTGGCAATGAGGCCCTTTATCTACTTCCCCAGAGTTAGATGAACTCGTGGACACCATTTTTATGTATCTGCATGCAGTTTGAAGAAAGTTACTAACAAGTCATCGCTAGTTAGCATTGGCTCATAAAACTACCTCTAACCTTCATAGTGGACGCAGATACATAAAAATGGTTCATCTGACTCTTGGGAAGTAAATAAAGGGCCTCATTGCCAAAATCCTGAACTATCCCTTTGACTGATTGTGAACTATTTGACTGTTTACTGAGAGAGGTGACTGAATAAAACACAGTGTATTGTAGAGGCATGGAATGCTCACCATTCCGAGCAGCATAGTCCTGACAGGACATGTTGGGGACGTCACAGTATAGACCAGTCCAGCCCACAGGACAGTGACATGACCAGGTGGTCTCTGACTGGGAACAGGACCCTCCGTTCCTGCACAGTGGCTGGCTACACAAGTTCACAAAGTTCTGCAATGGGACAAACGGAGCAGGAAATGTTAGCATTGCTTTTCATATGAAGAACCAGACAAAGAGAGATGTTATAATCAGATACCTTTTTTAAAAGTAATTTTCAGTTCAACGCCATTTTACACACACCCACACTCTCTCTCTCTCTCTCTCTCTCTCTCTCCTCTCTCTACCTGGCAGTTCTGCCCGTTGTAGCCCACAGGGCAGGTGCAGCGGTAGGATCCCAGGCCGTCTGTGCAGGTCCCTCCGTTCTTACAGGGCTGAGAGTCACACTCATTCTGCTCATACTGACAGAAGGTCCCGTAGAAACCAGGACGACAACGACACGAGAAGGTGTTGATGTCGTCAACACAGGTCCCGTTATTCAGACAGGAACTGAGGGAAATAGAGGGAGAGAGAGAAAGAAAGATATGTGGTCAAAGATGATGGAAGTCCTTGCGTGTTGCAGCGGAAATCAATTTAATACTTTTTTCTAAATGCGTCCCAGTCCACAAGTAGCCACATATCAAAAAGGAAAATTCATTGAAGAATAATTTTGATTGAAACAACTTTAAACACTTTAACACAGTGACTGCAGTTAAAGTCCTTTGTAACCTACCTCTCAGTGCATTCTGGGATGTTGTGTTCACATAGGATTCCGTCAAAGCCTGGCCGGCACTCGCAGACGAAGCTGTTTACGTAGTCCCGGCACACGGCTCCGTTCCGGCAAGGCTGGCTGGCACACTCGTCCACCTCTGTCTCACAGCGCTCCCCATCAAACCCTGGCCGGCAGTCACAGGAGAACCCTCCCACTCCATCCACACAGGAACCGCCGTTCAGACACGGGTCTGAGAGAGTGAGAGAGAGAGAGAGACCCATAAAGCTGTTTGTGAAGATCGATACATTAGTACAGTACACAAGATGCTCATAGAGAATATACACAATATGTGATGTGAGTTTGCCTGGGCTATCCGTGTGAGTGTTCCCAAGAGCTGGGTGATAACTTACTGGGGGAGCAGTCATCGATGTTGGTCTGGCAGTTGAGGCCGCTGTAGCCTGGTTGACACTTGCACACGTAGCTGCCCTGGTTGTTGATGCAACGGGCCCTGTTCTGACACGGGCTCTTTCTGCATTCATCCACATCCTCAGTGCAGCGGGGGCCTATTCAAACATAGCATTTTAATTAACATTATGGTAGAAAATCTCCCCCAACACACACTCACACCTTTTCCCTCTATGTGAATACCCACCTTGCCAGCCACTGGGACATCTACAGGTGTAAAAGGTGTAGTCTGGGGTTGGCTGACACACACCTCCCCGCTCACATGGATGAGACGCACAGGGAACCAACTCCTCCTCACAGTGTTTTCCTGTGGACACACAGAAATATTGTTAATATCCATAACGCCCATGATACAATCAACGTCAGCTCCACCAGAGGGAATATGTCCTGGGTAATACAGTAGTGTGGATGGTATTGTTACCTGAGTACGGAGGGGCACACTGGCAGGTGTAACTGTTGATTCCGTCCACACAGGTACCATGGTTCTCACATGGGCTTGATGCACACTCCTCTATGTTGACCTCACAGTTCACACCTGAGGGGAGAGGGAGGAAGGAAATTAGTGAGTTTTTAAATAAAACAGTGAACAGAAAAACATTTGAATATATTGGGGACTGCAGTTTAATGGGATCATCTGAATAATGAATAAAGGATTTATAAAACCCTGATTCAGACCTGTGAATCCGGGGCGACACTGGCAGGAGTATCCATTGAGTCTGTCCACACAGGTGCCACTGTGCTGGCAGGGGCTGGACTGGCACTCATCCTTCTCCTGGTCACAGTGCTGCCCCACCCAGCCAGACTCACACTCACAGTGGTACCTACATACAGACCAGGGGAGGGAGTAAGGGTTAGTGACAGACAGAGAATAACTTGAAGTATGCATTTCTATCATGTGTATCATATAAACTATATGTTGGACCCCAGGAAGATTAGCTGACGTCATGGCGTCAGCTAATGGGGCTACTAATACAATTCAAAATTCATATAACCTGCAATCATACAGTATGCCGATGGGTTGGAAAAAGTATTATTTTACATAAAGTACGCAACTCTAGAAAGAGTGATAGAGATCTAGAGAGAGGCATACCCGCTCTGCTGCTCTACACAGTCTCCGTGTACACAGGGCCGGGGAGCACAGTGGTCGGTGCCAGAGTGGCACAGGGGGCCATGGGTGCCAGGGGGGCACTGGCAGATGAAGCCGTTCACCTTGTCCACACATGTACCCCCACTCATACACAGGCTGGAATTACACTCATTGATGTCCACGTCACATTTTGCACCTGAGAGAGAAATAATTCAGAAAATGACTTCTTAGTTCATTCATTCACTGAAAGAATCAGGCATGTACTGTCATTAACATGGAGATGCATCTGAATAGTTGAGAGGGAGAAGTATGTGTGTTTACCTGTGTATCCTGGAGCACAGACACACTTGTACTCGTTGATCCCATCCTGGCACTCCCCATACTCACAGGGGTTACTGGCACAGTCATCAACATTGATCTCACAGTTCACCCCTAAGAAGAAAACCAGAAGAGGATGCATTTTGAAGCTTTTTGAACAGGCACTCCATTACAAAAGGTAGCTGCAGTTCCAATGGCCTCCACCAGGGGGAGCAGTGGACTAGCTGACAGTGTTTAACAGGTGTGTTCCAAAGAGAGTGAGCTGAGCGAGTGAAAGTATGTGTGTGACCTAAGCTGACTCCTGTGTGTGTGTGTGTGTGTGTGTGTGTGTGTGTGTGTGTGTGTGTGTGTGTACAGTACCAGTGCACTAGCCTGCACTAATCCCCTAGGCCAGGGCAGCGTGCTGGGCTGAGCAGAGCTGGGCCGACCCTTATGACTGATCCCCTCCTGTCTGAGTGCACTGAGCTGAGAGCTCTGCTCTACCCTGCAGGAAGCCACTTCTACTCCACAGAACAGAGTAGGAACTGCTGGTGTTTCAAGTTCAGAGAAGCACAGCACAGAGCTTTGGGGCAGACAGCACTGAGTGAGCAGCAGTTAAAAGGGATAGTTGGGGATACATAACAAACACCAATGAAGTCATGGTCTACTACAGTTTCACAAACTAGAAATCAGTCATGGTCTAGACCTAAGTTTCACAAATAGTATGTAGACAGAGATGCACCGTGCACAGTGTATGTGAGTTAATGTTTTTGTTTATCCAAACATTCTGTTATTGCACTGGTTTCCCCTTATTACTAAAGTTTTTATAACCCAAAAATATTCCACCCATTCTTTATCTCTGCTCACCTGAGGTGCCAGGCAGACAGTTGCACTGGTACTTGTTGACCAGGTCGATGCACCGTCCGCGGTTCTGGCAGGGGTTGCTGTGGCACTCCATAACCTGGATGTTGCAAATGGAGCCGGTGTAGCCTGGGTCGCAGTCACAGGAGAAGGTGGCGATGCCATCATGACACACACCATGGTGGCAGGGCTCTGGGTCACAGTCATCTATGTTCTCTTTACACAGTGGCCCATAGAAGCCTGGGGAGAGAAACCACACATTGAGTAACTGTTAAATATTCCCTGTGTTAATGCTTTAGTTTAAACATCATGGTTTTAACATGCAAAGGTATATACATTTGCAATGGGTAAGGTTGGCTAGTACCTTCAGCACATTCACACTCGTAACCGTTGGGTCGGTCGATACACTTGGCCCCGTTGAGGCAGGGTGTGCTGGAACACTCGTCAATGTCGATCTGACACATCTCCCCACTGAATCCTAAAGGCCAGGGACGGAACTCAGCGTCAAATACTGTAGCTCGACACCTTCTGAAACACTATGAGAAATGAATTTGATTACAAAAAGGCAGACGAACCTAGAGGGCACTGGCAGACGTAACGTTTGACTTGATCCAGACAGATCCCTTGGTTCAGACATGGAGAGCTGGCACACTCATTGATGTCAATCTCACAGTGTGTTCCCTCAAATCCTGGAAACAGAGAGAGAATATTACACAACAGTATTGTGTGTGTGTGTGTGTGAGAAAGAGAGATAGGGAATCACTGATCACACACACCTTCCATACAGATGCAGCTGTAGTCTCCTATGCGGTCCAGACAGGTGCCGTCGTTCTGGCAGGGGCTGGAGACACACTCATTGATGTCCGTCTCACAGCGCGGCCCACCATAACCTCTTGCACAGTTACATGTGAACGAGCCATCCGTGTTCACACACAATCCTCCGTGCTCACAGGGGTTTGGACCTGAGGGGAAACCTGAGAGGTTAGTTAGACAGAACTATAAAGGAGTACAGAAAGTACCAAAGGGAGAGGAAGGATATTTCTTACAGAATAGTCTGTATAATCTAATCATGTGTTTTGATCTGTCACTCACCAATGATGCACTCGTTGATGTCGTCATTGCAGGTGCTCCCCTTGTAGCCTGGGGCACAGTTGCAGTTGAACATGCCATTGATAGGGTTGGTGTCGCACTGCGCCCCATCCCGGCACGGGCTACTGATGCAGGCATCATTCACGTGGCACAGCAAACCTGGCAGGGAATATTCAACAGTCACTCAGCCTGTGTGTTTTCTGTGCTTATAGATTCCCCTTGTGGATTAATACATTATCTTTCTACTTATCCATCGATCTGTCTATAAGAGACATCTGTATATATCTACACTGTAGACAGGCTGTTTGTCCCCCACCTGTCTTTCCATAGGGGCAGACACAGAGGAAGGATGCCACACGGTCAATACAGGTGGAGCCCTTGGCGCAGGCAGCCGTAGCACAGTCATCTATGTTCTCAGAGCAGTCCAGGCCACTCCAGCCATTGACACACACACAGGTGTAGCTGCCCTGGATATTGCTGCAGGTACCCCCGTTCTGACACGTGTTGGGCTGCAGGCGACACTCATCCACATCCTCTGTACAGGACTGACCTGCAGGGGGTTGGGGGAGAGAGTTGGACATGTGAGACTAGAGTGAAGAAAAAAGTCCCCCATTAAGACACAGAGAGAAACCACAGACAGAAACACAGAGAACCCACAGACAGAAACACAGAGAAACTACAGACAGAAACACAGACACTGAACAAAAGACAGAAACTGAAACAAAGAAAAAAGACAAACAGACACTATTCTTTATCCTTACCAGTCCATTCCGGGGGGCATTTGCAATTGTAGGTGTTGACACCATCCATGCAGGTCCCTCCATTTTGGCAGTGATGGTCGGGGCAGTCGTCAATGTTGTTGTCACAGTTAGTCCCATTGAAGCCTGCCATGAGAGTGACAAAGATAGAAATGATACGTATTACTTCACTACTACCAATCTGGCTAGCAACCTCTGTCATATAATGTATCAGTTATCATAGTGATGACAAGTTATATTGTAAACAGATAACACAGTGCTTGATTGTTGTGCCCACAAAGCTCCATTGGGTACAGTAGGGTTTTAATAACGGTGTATAGTGTTAGAGCGCCAGCAGGATTCTAGTGTTTGCACCTCAAACATTAATTGCAACAATTGCCTTTCTCTCTTTTTTTCTTTTTTTCTTTCCCTCGCTCTCTCTCACCTGGCAGGCAGTGGCACCAGTAGCTGGTCTCAGAGGTTGGGCGACACGTGCCCCCATTGAGGCAGGGCGAGGGGGAGCAGGGGATGTAGGGGGTCTCACAGTGGCGGCCGGTGAACCCGGGGGCGCAGTTACACCTGTAGGAGCCGGGGGTGTTGACACACACCCCTTCGTTCTGACACACCGGGGTGGAGGCAGCACACTCGTCAGTGTCGTTGAGGCAGCGTGGACCCCAGTAGCCTGGAGGACAGGTACAGCTGAACTTGGCCCCGGACAGGGATCTGCAGGTGCCTCCGTTAGCACAAGGTCCTGACAGACAGCTATCCACACGCTCACATCGTATGCCTGGACACACAGGGCGAGAGAGATGAGGGCTGAGGTTAGGTTATATAACAGTGGTTACTTATCATGACCACAACATACAGTACAGCGTTCTAATCAATGCAAGGGCTAAGGACTGTCCTGAATACGTGCACCAAACATATGACGAATAGTGGAAATAATGTATTGGGATTTAGACTAGTGAACTGCACAGCACTTATCAGGAGTGGACTGTACAGTATTACGCAACAGTTTGAGTCAGAGAGGAGCTGACCTGTCCATCCGTGGGCACACTGGCACTTGTACTTGTCGAGGGAAAGCAGGGTGCATACTCCTCTGTTGGCACAGGGGTTGTTGGGGTAGCAGGTGGAGTTCTGGGGGCTCTGACAGTGCTGCCCGGTGTAGCCCAGGGGACAGGAGCAGGTGGGGCTGCCCGGGATGCCCGACATAGCCACTGAGCAGTTCCCTCCATTCAGACAGTAACCAGGGTGACACGGGTCTTTGTGATGGCAGTACTCACCCAGGAAGCCTGCGGCACACCTGTAGAAAGAGGACAATAGGAGTTTTTTCAGCTAGCTACCACATTAAAGACATCACATTTTCAGCTATAGAAACCTACACAACAAACACTATACATCAAAGAGGAAGAGGAGCAGCAATAGTGGACAGTAAATATCAGTCATAGTGTAAGATACAGTGATTAATACAGTGAAAATAGTATTTGGACTAGTCATGTCAATTTAACTGGAACTAAGTCATTTGCAAAGAGCTGAGCAGAGGAAAGGGTGACAGCAAGGTCAAGTTTTTTCAAAAATGAAAAAGCAGAAGGACGTGACGAGGTGGTTTTAGATGGAAGTTGACCAAGTGGCAAAAACTAAAAACAAGAACAATCGTATGTGGAGTTGGACAAACACTTGGAACCAGTGCGTATGTGTGTGTTTGCTAGATCACAAGACATAGGGAATCTATTTATCTTTTCTTCTCTCTGTAAAGTGATTTAACCACATGACGAACAGCACAGAGGGAATTACAATCTTGCACAAGAGGACAAATGAAAACCTGCACTCCACCCATTGTTGTGTCATTTGTCTTGGTTGTGTCTGTATTTTTGGAAGTCCTATCTGCTGGTTTTGGTCAGAAACCGAGGTTGAAGCATCATCAGTGGTCAGTCACCCTGCTCTAGGCAGACACTGTCTCAAGGGCCTTTTGCTCCTCAGTGCTGCTGAGTGTGTGTCTGGCACACTGCCGACACACTGTCAAGGGAATCTCAGCCATAGAGTGAACTGCTGCCTCACAGATACAGGCCGCCATACCTACCTCCCTGGGGAGGCTCAGGTAACAGACGACAGGAACACAAACACAGCCTTCTCACATGTCACCCCACACACACACAGTTACTTTTTTTCAAACCGGTTATATATTTTTTAATAATTGATAATTGACGGACAGCAAATTAGAATAATTTTTATCTTTTGAAATGGAGTCTCACACGTACTGCTCTAGGCAGACACTGTCTCAAGACACTGTCTCAAGGGCCTTTTGCTCCTCAGTGCTGCTGAGTGTGTGTCTGGCACACTGCCGACACACTGTCAAGGGAATCTCAGCCATAGAGTGAACTGCTGCCTCACAGATACAGGCCGCCATACCTACCTCCCTGGGGAGGCTCAGGTAACAGACGACAGGAACACAAACACAGCCTTCTCACATGTCACCCCACACACACACAGTTACTTTTTTTCAAACCGGTTATATATTTTTTAATAATTGATAATTGACGGACAGCAAATGAGAATAATTTTTATCTTTTGAAATGGAGTCTCACACGTACTATATTTATTCTGCACTAAACGCAGCTTGAAAATATTAGGTTGAGAGAGCATGGGAAACTCCGGCTGTCATGATTCATGACAGAGAGAAGCCCAGAGAAGATCAATAGGAAGTGTGTAAGTGTCGTCTTCACCCAAGTATTCATCACACAGTCCGAGGGTTCACACACCTGTTTTAACACACTTGTTGTTTCACACACACAACCTCTAAAAAGACGAGGACAACAAATCTTCAAAGAGCTGTGACACAGACCTCCTCACCTCTCTCCGATTGGACATGCTCCACAGGCATAGTTACTTCCCCAGAACTCCCCCTCATCCCTCCATGCTGTCTCCTCCCTGTCTCAGTACTCCTCTCCAGTTACACACACACACACACACACACACACACACACACACACACACACACACACACACACACACACACACACACACACACACAGGCTGTGCTTAGAGGTAACACAACAATACTAATGCCCCTCTACTCCATGACAACCTCTCAACCCTCTGAAAGAATGATGACACGGCCCCTGTGCCCCTGACATAGATCACATTAGCAGCCTGTCAAACAAAGCCGACCATGTCCACGTTAGTATTAGTTTTATATTTCAGCAGTAAGACCTATAATGTATGATTAAAGACAAGGGAACACTATATGTTACTGTGGAGATGGCTATAAACTAAAAATCTCTCTGAAATTCAACAGTGTTGAAAGAAAAGAGGACATACAGTACCAGTCACAAGTTTGGACACACCTACTCATTCAACGGTTTATCTTTATTTTTACTATTTTCTACATTGTAGAACAATAGTGAAGACATCAAAACTATGAAATAACACATATGGAAGTAACCAAAAAAGTGTTAAAACAAATCTAAATACAGTGAGGGAAAAAAGTATTTGATCCCCTGCTGATTTTGTACGTTTGCCCACTGACAAAGACATGATCAGTCTATCATTTTAATGGTAGGGTTATTAGAACAGTGAGAGACAGAATAACAAAACAAAAATCCAGAAAAACGCAGGTAAAAATTTTTCTACATTGATTTGCATTTTAATGAGGGAAATAAGTATTTGACCCCTCTGCAAAACATGACTTAGTACTTGGTGGCAAAACCCTTGTTGGCAATCACAGAGGTCAGACGTTTCTTGTAGTTGGCCACCAGGTTTGCACACATCTCAGGAGGGATTTTGTCCCACTCCTCTTTGCAGATCTTCTCCAAGTCATTAAGGTTTCGAGGCTGAGGTTTGGCAACTCGAATCTTCAGCTCCCTCCACAGATTTTCTATGGGATTAAGGTATGGAGACTGGCTAGGCCACTCCAGTACCTTAATGTGCTTCTTCTTGAGCCACTCCTTTGTTGCCTTGGCCGTGTGTTTTGGGTCATTGTCACGCTGGAATACCCATACACGACCCATTTTCAATGCCCTGGCTGAGGGAAGGAGGTTCTCACCCAAGATTTGACGGTACATGGCCCCGTCCATCGTCCCTTTAATGCGGTGAAGTTGTCATGTCCCCTTAGCAGAAAACCCCCCCCCAAAGCATAATGTTTCCACCTCCATGTTTGACGGTGGGGATGGTGTTCTTGGGGTCATAGGCAGCATTCCTCCTCCTCCAAACACGGTGAGTTGAGTTGATGCCAAAGAGCTCGATTTTGGTCTCATCTGACCACAACACTTTCACCCAGTTCTCCTCTGAATCATTCAGATGTTCATTGGCATACTTCAGACGGGCCTGTATATGTGCTTTGTTGAGCAGGGGGACCTTGTCAGTGGGCAAACGTACAAAATCAACAGGGGATCAAATACGTTTTTCCCTCACTGTATATAGATTTTAGATTCTTCAAAGTAGCCACACTTTGCCTTGATGACAGCTTTGCACACTCTTGGCATTCTCTCAAACAGCTTCACCTGGAATGCTTTTCCAACAGTCTTGAAGGAGTTCCCACATATTCTGAGCACTTGTTGGCTGCTTTTCCTTCACTCTGTGGTCCAAATCATCCCAAACCATCTCAATTGGGTTGAGGTCAGGTGATTGTGGAGGCCAGGTCATCTGATGCAGCACTCCATCACTCTCCTTCTTGGTCAAATAGCTCTTACACAGCCTGGAGGTGTGTTTTGGGTCATTGTCCTGTTGAAAAACAAATGATAGTCCCACTTCACGCAGTCTCCTCTGAACAGTTGATGTTGAGATGTGTCTGTTACTTGAACTCAGTGAAGCATTTATTTGGGCTGCAATTTCTGAGGCTGGTTACTCTAATGAACTTATCCTCTGCAGCGGAGGTAACTCTGGGTCTTCCTTTCCTGTGGCGGTCCTCATGAGAGCCAGTTTCATCATAGCGCTTGATGGTTTTTGCGACTGCACTTGAAGAAACTTTCAAAGTTCTTGAAATATTCCGCATTGACTGACCTTCATGTCTTAAAGTAATGATGGACTGTCATTTATCTTTGCTTTGAGCTGTTCTTGCCATAATATGGGCTATCTTCTGTATACCACCCCTACCATGTCACAACACAACTGATTGGTTAAAACGCATTAAGAAGGAAATAAATTCCACAAATTAACTTTTAAGAAGGCACACCTGTACTACATGATTCCATGTGTGTTATTTCATAGTTTTGATGCCTTCACTATTATTCTACAATGTAGAAAATAGTAAAAAAATAAAAAATAAAAACCCTGGAATGAGTACGTGTGTCCAAACTTTGATTGAATTTAATTGGGTTTATCAAACCGGTGTTAACAAAATAAAATGTCACGGCGTCAGCGATACATAGCTGTCCTTCAGTTTTTTGTGCTCTATTCAATATACACTGAACAAAAATATAAACGCAACATGTAAAGTGTTGGTCCCATGTTTCATGAGCAGATCCCAGAAATGTTCCATACACACAAAAAGCTTATTTCTCTCAAATTCTGTGTACAAATTTGTTTCCATCCCTGTTAATGAGCATTTCTCCTTTGCCAAGATAATCCATCCACCTGACAGGTGTGAGATATCAAGAAGCTGATTAAACAGCCTGATCATTACACAGGTGCACCTTGTGCTGGGGACAATAAAAGGCCACTCTAAAATGTGCAGTTGTGTCACACAACACAATGCCACAGATGTCTCAAGTTTTGAGGGAGTATGCAATTGGAATGCTGACTGCAGGAATGTCCACCAGAGATGTTGTCAGAGAATTGAATGTTCATTTCTCTACCATAAGCCGCATCCAACATCGTTTTAGAGAATTTGGTGTCCAACCGGCCTCACAACCGCAGACCACGTGTATGGCGTTGTGTGGGCGAGCGGTTTGCTGATGTCAACATTGTGAACAGAGTGCCCCATGGTGGCGGTGGGGTTATGGTATGGGCATGCCTAAGCTATGGACAACAAACACAATTGCATTTTATCGATGGCAATTTGAATGCACAGAGATACCGTGACGAGATCCTGAGGCCCATTGTCATGCCATTCATTCGCTACCATCACCTCGTGTATCAGCATGATAATGCACGGCCCCATGTCGCAATGATCTGTACACAGATCATGGACGATGAAAATGTCCCAGTTCTTCCATGGCCAGCATACCAGACACGTCCCGAATTGAGCATGTTTGGGTTGCTCTGGATCAACGTGT